GCTTTCCGCGTATGCCAGTAACTGATTATGATTATTGGAACAGCTTTTATAAGATTTGAGATTATAATTCTTTAGTGACTATTCTTTTATGTATTATTTTATTAAACTGTTAGAAAGATTTAGAAAAAAAAATTGTCTTCAGATACCTGGAACCAAGGATCGGCACTCAATGTTCATTCTGGTTGTCCTTTTTATTATTGTACAATGACATTTGTTATTTAGCAACAATTTTCACTATGACATAGAAGCATAAATTATTTTATATTAGAAATACCCTAGATATCTCATATTACAATTTCCACGATTTTACAATCATAAAATCTAACTTCTGCAATTAAGCAATTCAACATATCCCGTATTTTTCTATTAGTACGATCTTACTTTAACACTACATGAAGAATTTATTGCCGTATATTTACTTTTATTAAGTAATGAACAAGTATTTAAACGTCATCTCATTTTAATGAAACTTGAAGACAATCAAATTCTAAAATCTTTTTTTACAATAGACTATAGGCACGATCTAATAATAAATTTTCCATTAAATAGTTTTCAATCCAAAAACAATAAATTCATAGTGGAATCAATAGATAGTTTATTAGTTTAGCAGAAACGCTGCTAACTCATATTAGGCGCCTCTCTCATAATAGGGGCTTTCCTCTACATATACGTCTTTAGAATATTCCCGTAATATTAAAAAATATAAAAGCTGTAATTTATAATTTTTTGTTCTTTTATATAGATTTTTTTATACAGGTAATTAATTCCCACAGCTATTTGCATTTCTTCTTTTATTCTAGAGAAAAATATTTTATATAAGAAAAACGAAATGAATGGAAAAATACGAAATGCGTTCCGTTGATAACTCTATCATTCTCTTAAATTGATATAATCCCAGTAAGCAAAATATCATTACTACATTACAACATTATTATAACAATCTTCAATAATATAACATTTTCAAATATGTTGTATTTAACGTTCTATACATTATTACAACTTTTAACCACAATTTGGAAGTGGTGTGGTGTGTGGGTTTCTATATATAGAATAAGCTTCCGAAAACGATTCCCACATCCGATTGCAATAAATTTTGACGAAAATACTATGGCGTCAAATGAATGACCTTAAATAAATTTTCACTGATAAAAAAGTTTAATGTCAAAAATGTTTAAATAAAGTTATATACTTCGCTTTGCGTAAAAAATATGCCCCTAATATTAATATTCTATCATGAAAAAACGTTATGATGTTGCGTTATTAATATTAAATCCATATCTCAATGTTGAATTATAACATTGTTAAAAAACTATTGCAAAAACATTCTGTGTTCATTGAAGTAACATCTTACAGACATTGCAATTTAATATTCGAAAATATTGATTCAATATTTATTCAATAAAATAAAATAAAACTCCCAACTATTAGGGACTCATATAAACTTCCAACATATTAGGTTTCTATAATTAATTTTTACACAAAATTAAACATTTACAAAATACGTTTTATTCGCTTTTATCTTAGTACCCTTGGATCACCTTTTAAAAATTATTTTATTAAAATATAGATGAAGAATCTCATAATACTACGCGTCATTTCTATCTTATGTAATTTTTCAATACGAGAAAATTACTCCGCCACGTCCATTTACAAGTGATATCGCACACTACTCTCGAATAAACGACATTAATAATTACGTGTTTAACATTGTTTCAACTTTGTAGCAACATTGGTAATCAATATAGGAAAATCAACAAAAATTCAACATTGAAAAAACATTCACACATAAAAATTTAACATTTAATACGTCTTAGCGACTTAATACGTTCTGTGCTACAGTTACAAAATATTCATGTATATATGTATGCATATATATATATATATATATATTTTTTTTTTATTTTTTATATATATATATATATATATAACCGTTAAAAAACCATAATTTTTTTATGCTTTCGGTTTTCTTTACTAATAAAAAAAAAACCGAAACTGAGACCGGAATATTTATTTGATATTTTATTAAACCGAAAAAACCTTTTGATCCGGATCCCTGGTTGATTGCTAGCACTGATTTTGTCAAATGTGAGTTGGTTATTACTGACACACATGACATATGACATATGTTATGACACATAACACAAGTTCTAATAATAGCTTTAAAATAAAAACGCGCCATTCTTAAATAAAATCAAGGATGAAGTTGACAAAGTAAACTCAATCAGTTTAGAAAAGTTAACGCTATCGCTATCTTTTGTGAAGACATAAAAGTAATAACTAAAACCGTCATCCAGTCAATAGCACGAATTACTATTTTCATGTTATTATCATCGGCGAAATGCTATTAAATAAAAAATTGTTACTCTGTATGATAAATAAAATTAAAGAATGCAAGTGATTATCAAATAATATTTGTAAATAATTTGTAGATATCTGTAGATAATTAGAGAGAAATTTGACATACCTATCATTAATCATATTATTATACTTACCGATTTGAGCTGCTTTACTGCCTCTCATGCTATTTATATTCTGTATTGTTATATAGATACTTAGTGTCCGCGTAGCGCAATATTCAATCCGGTCTAGCCTTACTTAACATTTAGTGCAATAAAAATGTATATATTGTATGTAAGAATATACTCAAAGAACATGCATGTCTGAAAGACATCCAAAAGATGTTTTGAACTAGACATCTTTAAGATTTTTCCAAAAGACACCTTTTAGACGTTTTTCAAACATTTTCGAATGATATCAGAAAATTATTCAAGTTTTGGAGCATGTATAGCAATTTATATTATCGACTGTAAATTTTATTGATTATATCACGAATATTGTCGAAATTGACAATTTCTGATATATCAGCAGCGGTATATATAATGTATTATGAATTACTTATATTAATTATTACACATACATTAAGTATTGTCATAAAATCGATAATATTAATCGTAATTGTTTAATGCTTAATCTTAACAATAATCATAGAAAAGGATAAAGAATACTTTGTCAATACATATAAGTCTAAAAATCTTCGTTTCGTACGTAAATAAAATTTGAATTGCCTATTCGTTCTTATCAATGATACGGACATATTCCGTGCTTTCCGATTGCTCCTAATGCAGATCTTTGATAATAAAATGATAACTTAAAACTAATTAAAAAATTATTAATTACAAAATTTTTGTAAATAATTTATCGTGCATCATGTATTTGTTAGGTCACTATTAACACATGTCAATCTCAATTCTTAAATGAATGAAATAGAATCTTAATAAACAACGAGTATGTAGAATAAAAAAAATTACATTATTTTTTAAACATTGTTGTTTAACTTACATGAAATGTTAATATAATATTAGTAAATATTAAAACTAAATAAATATCAACATTTTTATTTTAATATTATATATTGTATGTAAGCATAAGTATGCATAATTTTTATCCACGTATAAATAAACTGCGTTGGACAGTCGAGATAAATGATGTTTTTGATTCTATCTATTTTATAATCGAAATACAATTAGATACTGGAGACATAATAATTCGTTGATAAACGTTGTTTTTCGTAATTTAATGATTCTATTTTACATTTATTTTCTTGTATGTATTTTATCTTAATTATTAATTTCATTAATCACAAGAACATATACTTGGCACATTTATATTTACAATCGATTCATTTTTAGTTACTGTATATACATCGCAATGTCAATTTTCCAAGAAATGTAAGCATAGCATCTAGTTTCAATACATTCTCAGTATATTATTATGCAAATGTCTTTATAATATGAAAACAGTATATTAATGTTATATAAAACAAATTTGTAATTAAATAACATGACTCTTCACTACATCATTTATTATTTCAATATATATATAAAATTAAATTTGAAACTTATTGATTCATTAATTTTTATTTCGCCAACTATTTGAGCCGCACAGTTTGTTCGAATCTGTGTGAAATCTATTGTAGCTACTGAACACTTATTTCTTATTCAATGCACTCGTTAAATACATTTATCTTTGCTTCTATTATACATAATCAATGTTAATATATAACTCTATGTAAAAAATATGATATATAAATACTGTTTACATATAATATAACAATAAATTTACTTTATATTATAATATAAATTATAATATGCCTGATCTGATACAAATATTAATATCCGTCATTGCCGTTAATACTTTATTTAGACATTTTGTATAATAATATGTTACATCCCTATACTTAGTCTCTGTGTTCCGCTACAATATTTGTAATCCGCTATGTGATTAATATAATGACAATTGACATGTCTTCATAGGACACATCTTTCCATTAGAAAATATTTCTTTCTTCTCGATCGGAAAGACAGAAAAATCTAAAAAAAGGAAGGACCTAAAAAAAGAATCTTTTTTTTACTTTGATTGATCTATGTTGATCGAGCACAAATATTATTTACAGAAACAAAGAATAAGGAGAGGATAATATTATTAATAATACTTTATGAGAATTTACATAAAAAAAGAAAGTGTTATGATTCTTTCATATCCTTTTTACATTAATATATTGAGTCAACAAGATCATTAAAACATGATTCTTGATATTCATGATACATATGATACGTATGATACATAAAAAAATTTTTATTATAATACACAAAGCATTCTCTTTTTTATGTCTGATTAATAATTAGTAAAAATCATGACAATTTAATGAAAATGGGGACGTGAAACATCACGATTGTTTTATGTCCATTGTATCAAGAAATACGATTGTGCATATGTTGTGTATATGTATTGTCTGTGTGTGTGTCTGTGTATATGTGTGTGTATGTGTGTGCAGAAAGGAATATTTAATCGTGCCAGGATATTCTCAGAAACTAAGATACAGGAAAAGATATAGGAAAAAATTTTACATAAAAGTTATAGGTTTTCTTGGAGAAAAAAATGTGAAAATAACAGATTTTATATATGGGGCATTACCAAAGTCAAGTCAAGATCAACATGAATTTTTTAAATAAGAACCATTATTTTTTATTGCACATTCTTAGCTGAAGTCGAAATGCTTTTAAAACACTATTGTGGCGATTCGTCCAACGGGACTCGCTCGAATTCGCGTGAGCATCGCAGCCACGCGAATTCCCTTTAAATAGAATATCAATCTAAATTTATTCTAGGCGTCTAAGGCAGGTCCTACATCATCTTACTGATGAGTGTAGGATTGAGACGAAACGCTGCAATCGACTAAAAAGCTTCGAGTTAGGCCTCCTTAATGGATACGACCATCATTTTCGTACAGATATCCACACTATAATAAAGTATTTTTTCATTAACTTCTAATCACTAATCACTAATCACTCTTCAAGTCATAAAACTTGACAATTACTATATTGCTGACATTAGCGTTATTCAAAGTATAACGTGGAGGATACTCACTCGGCTTTAATTTATTGTGTGCGTATGTGCGTATGTGCGTACGTGCATATATGGGAGAGGGAAAAAATTATACTTTTTGATCGACTGTTTGGAATATTTTATTGAGAAGCAAGAAGACTCATGTAAATCAAGCATAAAGATTTGAACTCCCTGTTACGTCTACATCGTTCATCCTGAGTAATGTTAACACGGAAAAATGCCAGTCGACCTGGAACTGATCTTGGAATTGATCATCAAACATAGTTCAGGTAATGAATAGAAACAAGAGCAGGATGTGTATATCTTTGATTCCCCTTTCTCTCCTCTATGTGCATACGTATATACATCAGATTAAATTCGATTACTAACCTTCATATGATACACCTTATATAATGATAATGTCAGCAGTACAGTAAACTAAACTCAAGTTTTATAACTCGAAAAGTGCTTAACAAAAAAATATTTTATTAGTGTTTTGGAAACGCCTTGTCTTCAGCTACAAAAATATGCAATAAAAAATAGTGGTTCCTATTTATGTTGACCTTGACTTGACCTTAGTAATGCCTCATACACAAAATTTGTCATTTCCATCTTCTTTCCACCAAGAAAATCTACAACTTTTACATGAAACTTTTCCTTTATTTCTTAATTTCTAAGATATACGAATACTGGAAAGATTAAAATACCCCACCTTACACACCTACACACGCTCACGCGACGCATACGCGCACAAAAAAAAATATATATATATATACACATATGCACACATGTGTGTGTATATATATATATATATATATATATATGTATATATAGTACACACGTACGCGCGCGCGCGAAGCGAAACTCATCTCACATCCTCCCCTGCTTAGGGGCGCATGATTTCCACGCGAAGCGATTCCCATCCCACTTCTCCCCTTCCCCGTTTAGAAACGCACAACTTTTCACGCGAAACGTGCGAAAAAATGTGAAAAAAATCGTTTCTTAAATATTTTACCTTGAAAATGACTTTATCGACAATTATCATTATTATATTCGTAATCAGGGCATCAAAATACAGTAGTAAGTCAATCGACAAGAAAATCGGGGAGTTCACCTTCGGAATTTTATTCGAAAATTCAAAAATGTTGAGGCTTTAATAGTTTTAATAAGCACTTAACCCTTCGTGGTCACACCTCCTGAGAATTTTATGTTGATCACACAGGAGACAAAATGACCTCGATATTTTAATTGATTGCCATCTTATGACTTTTGTTCTTTAAAATGACAAAAATTACTGAATATACTTTAAGCATTGTAGAATATGGAAATGCAGGGGCTTTTTAAAGTTTTTAATTTTAACATATTTAAAAAAAATCGCAAAGACTGACGTCCAAGAAACAATATACAGCCGAAGACATAAAAAGGGTATATTGAACTTTGGATAAATGGCAGTTTAAGTCCCATTTAAAAAAAAAGATCTTAGAAATATAAAGCTTCACACCTTTTAGAGATCCCCTGGATCCTCAGTCACCACGAAGAGTTAAAATTGTCAAGTCATACCGCCTAAAGTTCGTGCGTTCACGTAATACAACAGAAAATGCAACTGCACCTAAGTGCGCAAACTTTAGACGGTATGGCCTCAAGCATTGTCTTTATCGAAAATCCTGTATACAGAATGGGTCATTTTAATGTCCTACTGCAAATATCTTTTTTCCTTTGCCTTTTAACAAAAAATGTTTCAAGTAGAAACTTTTAAAGAATACATCAGATAGCAATATTATTGTAATCTTGAACGTCACGGCATCGCCAAGGTCAGGTCAAAGTCACATTGATTTTTTTAAATAAAAACTTCCATTTTTTTATTGCATATTCTTGTAACTTATCTTGAGAGATCTTCAAAACACCATAACAAAAGATCTTGACAAATGTTATTCATATCATAATCCTGAACAATACTCAAGAGATTTTAGCCATCAATCGAACAGCTTGAATAACGTCGGATACTGTAACTTCCAAGCCTCATAACTCGAAAAGTATTTAATAAAAAAATTTTGTTATAGTGTTTTTAGAGCTTTCAAGATAAGCTACAAGAATATACAATGAAAGAGTATAAAATCTCATAAATTATATTGATTTTTTGATAGAGTTATCTTAATACCTTTATATGCAGAATTAGAGAAATTATATTAAGTAAAAAAAAAAATATATATATATATATATATACAGGATATTCTAAAAGTAACGATCAATCTTTTGCACAGGGCAGAATGGAATCGAGAAGAAAAGTCTACCATTTTGAAATTTTCGCAATAGTTAACAAGATATTAATTGCTAAAAATTGCTCTTCAATAATTAGTCTTCAATAATTTTTTACTTAAATACTATTAACTTTACAGAAAAACTATAAGAGAAAATTGTTTATTTTCTTCTCATAGAGCTCTAAAAATTTTTTAGAATTTTTTAATCGCATTTCCTTATGTTGGTAAAAATAAGAAAATGCAATACTAAAAAGTTGATACAAAATTCTGAAAAAATTTTGAAAAAATACAGCAGATACACGCTTATTCTGCTTATTTTTTAAAAATTAATTTTAATTATTGCGAAAAATACAAAATAGTACAGAATTCTTTTTGAATCAATCCGCTCCACACGACCATATTGTCGCAAATATGCTTTGGGGGATACTTGTGCGTGCGTGCGTGCGTGCGTGCGTGATATACACATGTATACAAGGTGATAATTAATAACAAAACTCTCGTATAGACACAGAATGAACTAAACTGAAAAGTTCTCTACCATTTTGCATTTTTCGCATTAGTTAACGAGTTATTAATTTATGAAAATTTCTAAATTCGCCCAGCCTATATACAGGGTGTCTCTTAAGATGGGTCGGGGCCACATTGAGGATGGAGAATGGATCAAAGGGAACAAAAAATTCTTATATCATTTTGAGATATTCGCTGTAGTTTTCGAATTAAAAAAAAGAAATATCTAAGCCAATATGCGGTTAAGTCGCGCCGCGCGAATTCGTAGGACGGCCCACGCTCGAGCGGCAACGAAGTTTCTTCCCCCTCCTTGCGCGCCGCCGTCGTCGCCGCTCCCATCCCCAATGTGGCCCCGACCCATCTTAAGAGACACCCTGTATAAGACCGCTCAGAGAAATGCATATTCTTCGTCGTTTACAAGCAACATTAGAATTAATGTGTAGTAAAAACGAACGCGCATCTCGGTGGGCCGTCGTATCTCATCGCACGCTTGCATTTGGCGGAAGGCCGGGCGAATTTGACTATTTTCATAAATTAATATCTACCATTGCAAAAATTGCAAAATGGTATGGGACTTTTCGATTCAGTTTATTCCATTTTACTGTTCTGCGAGAGTTTTATCGTTAATTGTCAGACACACTGTGTTTTTGTATTAAGTATATATACACGGTAAATGTCCGGTAAAGACCGTAACAACACTTAAGGATAGACAATAAGATTGGAAACAAGATCGTTTATGTTATGTTAAATATATTACTTTAAATACAAAGCGCCATTACGATCTGAATGTTAAGATATTAAGATGATTTAAAGATAGACTCCTAAGTTTTCATCATTTTGAGACAAAAATTCTAATATCAAAATGTCAAGGCTATAATAATTTTTAAACTATAAGCATTTAAAGTTACCATCTAAAACCATGCATACACCATGCGAACAAACATCAATGTTCAGACATTCATGTTTATATTAAGTAGTTTATTCTTTTTCTTAATTGCACCGAATACTTTCGATTAGATTCGATATTCATTATACATAACAATTAAACTTGTGCGACTTTTATGTAATGAATAATAACATAAACTTTTGCGTTCATTGTTTCATTCGCTAAGTGTATACATGATTTAAAATTTGCATTTAGGTGTACATACAACAGAAAATCGCGCCTAAACGCGCGAACTTTATGCAATATGATTTACTAACTTTAAGTATTTATAATTTAAAAACTATTACAGCCTCGACATTTTGATAGTAACATTTTCATCTCAAAATAATCTCGAGAATCAACCCTTAAGTATTATTATGATTTTTATCGGACCTGTATAATTACATACATGTTACATATATAATATATATATTATATACGTATTATATATTACATATATACAGAGCGTCAAAATTACGACTTAAAATACAATAAGAGAGTTCTCAGTAAGAAAGTTCTCAGAAAATTAACTAAAAATTTATTTGAAAATTTTTATTTTAAACTAATTTTTTAGATAATGAGTTTAAATATGGTCAATTATAGACTACGTTTAGATGGCCACCTGTCAACGTACGAGTTGCTCGTGCGATAGTATTAGTGAATGCTGGTAAACTTCAGCGTACTAATACTCACAGATGACCATAAACGTAATATATCAGAAAATATTGCTTAAAATAAAAATTTACAAATATTATATATATATATATATATATATATATATGTATGTACATATGTATAATATAGTAAAATACATATAAAATATTGACTGATAAAAAATTACAGCAAGATAAAAAAATCTTTCTTTAGAACATGCCTTTTGCTTTGTTGTAAATAGTTGTAAATAGGGATGCACCGGAAAATATCCGGTATTATCCGGTACTTTGTTTACTATCAGATCGGATATCATTAATATCCGGCTAAAATTTTATATTAAAAGTTTACGTTATTGATACCAAATTCTATTCTTTTCAACTGAACTTCTTTCACAGTTCATCTCTTTCTTCTTTTCATTTTCACTTTTAGGAGGATAAAGAAAATTATTATCACTATTTTTTTTGCTTTCCTTTTTTTTAGAATTTTAGAAAATTTGTACGCATATCCGGGAAAATATCCGACCGGATATCGGATATCCAATATCACATTCCTTTCGGATATTCGATAATTTTACAATCCGTGCATCCCTACTTGCAATTCTTGTTTATTCATTTAACAGTATAAAGTTTGAAACTCAATAAATCTGTTTTCACCGAGATTTTCACTTTTACACTGCATTAGTGTATTCAATCAGCAGATTAAATTCAATTCAGATTAATTCAATTTTTCTATTTTAATAAGGTGGTGGTTGATGTTGATAGGAATGTTGCGGTGGTTGACTCAAGTGCCTCTGTAAATGTGTTACGAGTTGAGGCGTTGGTTGTTGGCCACCAGCAGCACCTTGTTGCTGCTGTTGCTGCTGTTGTGCAGCTTGTTGCTGTTGAGCTTGTTGTTGTTGCTGCTGCATAGCCAACATCTGTTGCCTCATACGCTGATTTATCGCTTGTTGCTATGTAAAGATAATTAATAACATTTCGCAAATTTATAAATATTGCGCTTCTGTAATATACCTTATGATGATGTCATAATGTGATGTATGATATCGCAGACCATACCTGTTGGAATTGTTGATTTTGCTGCAAACTGACATTGGCCGTACCTACACCCGTTACACCTACCGCACCCGGTTTTCCAGCGGATTGTCGGTACGGAGGAGCAGGTTGATTCTGAACACCTGCGCCCATTGGTCCCATTGCGTTCATCGTTACATTTGGTGCCTAAATAACAAGATATATTTTCTAGCATATCATTAAATTTTACAAAATGCAATTATTATGGGCTTTCTATAATAAGCTATGCTGTAAGAAATAAGCGACAACAGAAAAATATCAGGGCGCTCCGGGATTTGAACCGAAGCCCGGTCCTCCATATTAGATAGAAAACTTCCGTCCTGCCACCGAGCCACAGCCCTGACACTGATAGCTTCTCTGCTGTGCCTATTTTCTCTAAATTT